CACACCCACCCACCCCTGCACACACACCAGACACATGTTCCCCCAACACAGTGCACACACACCCCACATCCCCACCACACATAACCACCCACTCCACACACTCCCTCCTCCACCTTCACACAACACCCCCACATACACTATACCCTCCCCACAACCACACACCCCACACACTTACACACCACACACACATAGACACCCCTGACACCTCGACACCCCCCCCACACACACACACCCCGTGCGCGCACACACATATGCACGCACACACCCTCCCCCCCACACACACACACAGACACACCCTTCAGACACTCCCCCACACCAGACCAGACACATACACACACCCAACCGCCACATACTCCACACACACAACATCCCCACCACCACCACACATACTTCACACACAACCTGCACCCCCCCGCCCCTACACACAACCACCCACTCACTCCACACACACCCCCAACACTCTCCACACATCCCCCAAGACACCCACACACCCAACACCCTTCACACATACACACCATGTGCACACACACCACACAAACACACCCCAGAGATTCCCCCCCACACACAACACACATCACAGCTAACAAACCCCCGCATACACACCACACACGACATATACACACCACAGACACCTCCCCACAGACACAAGCCACGCACCATGCCCCCATACACACCCCAACACCCCCCCACACACACCCTCCCTCCTCCCCACACACATCATACACACCACACACCCAGACAAAAACCACACACACACAGAGCGTGCGCGCACACACACACACACACACACACACACACACAGCTCACTCTCCCCCACACAGACATCGCGCACACCACACAACCATCCCGCCCCACACATTGCACACACAACACTCCCGACACCCCGCCACACATACTCCACAAACATACAACACACATCGCGTGCACACACACACACACACCACTCCCCTCCAACACCCTCCACAGATGCATCACCTCCCCACACACACCACCCCCCCCACATACCACATGCACCACCTCCGCACGCACACACAAACCACACATACTCCACACGACATCCCTACACACAGCCCCCCCCCCACATTCCACACACACATACAGCACACACACCTCAGACACCCTACACAGACACCCTCCAACACACACACCACAAACATCCTCCACACACACGTCACAGACACACATCACACACCCCCGACACCCTGCACACACACACACACAGACCTGAGACCCCCCCCACACACACACCACACCCCATACACACACACACCACACACACACACATCCAGACACCCCACACACACACAAACCTCCCCATACACATTGCACGCGTGCGCGCACGCGCACACACACACACACACCCCCTCAGACATTCCCACAGACACCTCCCCTCCCCACACATGCACATCACACATGCACACACTAGACACACACACACACACACACACACACACACACAAAAACACCACACACCCCCTCACACACCACCAACCCCCCGCTCCACATCCCTCCAGACACACCCTCCACACACACTTCACAACACACCTCAGACACCCTCACACACTCCACACACGCACCCCCACACCACACATGTACCACACACACAGACCCCAGAGACACCCCCCCCACACACACACACCCCCAATACCCTCACACACACCCCGTGCACACACCACACACACAAACACACCCCAGAGACCCCCACACACACACACACCACAAACACCTAATGCACCACACACTTCTCCACACACACCCTCCCACCCCCCACACATACTCCACACACACTCTGCTCCCACACACAACACCCCCACATACTCCACACACACTACACCCCCAAATACACACACACACCCCGACACACAACCCATATACACACCCCACAAACATCGCATACACACCCCTCCCACATATCACCACTCCCCAGGCACACCAACACCCTGACACACACTCCCCCCCAAACCACACGCACCTCCACATACACACCCTGACCCCCACACACACACATTGTACACGCCACACACATATCCACACATCACAGACACCAGACACACACACACCACACACAGAAACACCACACAACCCACACACACACAAACCACCCCACCCCCCCACACATGCACACACCACACACAACCCGATACCTCCTACAACACTCTCCACGCACGCACGTGCACACACACACACACACACACACACACCCCGCCCCCACATACACACCACACACACCAGACACACCATGCGCACACCTGAGACTTCCCCCACGCACACACCGCCCCACACTACACATCACACAACCACGCACACACACCAACCCTCCACACACACAACCACACATCACATATTCTCCACACACATATTCCACAAACACACACATACACAACAC